GAGAATGGAGAATTGAGTGGGTTTTGAAGGAGGAAGTAAGAGTTTTAGAGAGAGAAGGAGTGAGAATCGTGAGATAGAGATTGAAGGAGTGAATTTTTTGTTTATGTTGTAACCGTGCTGCTGCCAGCCATTTTCGGGGCGGCACGGACGTGCAACATGTGGCATGGACGTGCTGAGTTGCACGGACGTGCTTAATTTGGCACGGACGTGTAACCTCAGACAGAAACTTAGGTAACATACCGACTTGTTTAGCACGGACGTGCATAACTTAGCACGGACGTGCTTAGCCACCTTGCACGGACGTGCTTAATTTGGCACGTCCGTGCCAATCTGGAGAAATTTATTTCAATATTTCTGATTGCTTCTGACTGCCTCTGCACGGACGTGTTATTCTCTGCACGATCCTTCCCCCTTTTTTTTATTTTTAGAGAATAATAGTAATAGTAAGGCATAATAATAATAAAATTATTATCATTACCATCATTATTATTATTATTATTATTATTATTATTATTATTATTATTATTATTTACTACTTCACTTCCACAAAAACCTTTTCTTACTTTTCTTTTCATCAACACCTACAAAAGACATTGAGAGAAAAGTTAGTAATAGTAAGAGAGATGGAAATTAAATAATAGTTTGTGAGAGAGAGAGAGTTGAGAAACTCGGGTTGCCTCCCGGAAGCACTCTTTTAACGTCACTAGCTTGACGACATTGTGAGATCAATGAGAGTAGGGAACATCAAACTCATCAAGGTGAACAACCTTGGCTTCCTCATGCACAAAACTGTCAAAGTATGCCTTAAGCCTTTGGCCATTCACTTTGAACGGTTCACCATTGTCATTTGAGATTTCTATCGCTCCATATGGAAAAACCTTCTTAATGGTGAAAGGTCCACTCCGTCTTGACTTAAGCTTACCCGGAAACAACTTCAACCGGGAATTGAATAGTAGGACCTTATCACCTTCCTTAAACTCCCTTTTGATAATATGCTTGTCATGCCAAGCCTTGGTCTTTTCTTTGTAAATCCTTGCACTCTCATATGCATCCATTCTTAATTCTTCCAAGGCGTGGAGGTCAAGCAACCTCTTCTCACCGGCGCTTTGAAGGTCGAAATTCAATGTTTTAATAGCCCAATGAGCCCGATGCTCAAGTTCTACCGGCAAGTGGCATGACTTCCCATAAACAAGCTTGTATGGTGTGGTGCCAATAGGAGTTTTGAACGCGGTGCGATAGGCCCATAGAGCACCATCAAGCTTTGTAGACCAATCTTTTCTAGACCTATCCACCGTTTTCTCAAGGATCATTTTTACCTCCCGGTTTGAAATTTCAGCTTGACCACTTGTTTGGGGGTGGTAAGATAATGACACCTTGTGCCTCACACCATATTTCTCAAGGAGAGCTTGAAAGGATCCCTTTGCAAAGTGTGAACCTCTATCACTAATCACAGCCCGGGGCACTCCAAACCTTGGGAAAATTACTCTTTTGAAGAGCTTGACCACAACCTTAGCATCATTAGTAGGAGATGCAACCGCTTCCACCCACTTTGATACGTAATCGACGGCCACTAGAATGAACTTGTTCCCAAAAGAGCTCGGGAAAGGCCCTATAAAATCGATGCCCCATACATAAAAAATTTCAAGTTCAAGGATGTTGTTCAAAGGCATTTCATTTTTTTTTGAAATATTACCGGTTTGTTGACACCGGTCACAAGCTTTCACCACACCCCACACATCCTTGAACATTGTTGGCCAAAAGAAACCGCATTGCAATATTTTATCCAAGGTCTTGTTGGCACTCATATGTCCTCCACAAGGTGAGGAGTGACACATTGTGATAACATCTTCAATTTCATTATCCGGGACACACCTTCTAAAAAGGCCATCAACACCTTGTTTGAAGAGCAAGGGGTCGTCCCAAAAGTATTGGCGAACATCATGAAGAAACTTCCTTTTTTGTTGATAGGAGAGGTCGGGAGGAAGAATAGAGCAAGACAAGTAGTTTGCAATGTCTGCAAACCATGGTGCCGGTGCTTGGAGAATAGCAAATAGTTGATCATCCAGGAATGAATCGTCGATTGGCAAGTTATCAAGATCACCTACAACGATAGGCAACGGTGAAAGATGATCGGCCACCATATTTTCGGCACCCTTCTTGTCCCTAATCTCAATGTCATAGTCTTTTAAGAGCAAGACCCACCGTATCAATCTTGGCTTTAGTTCCTTCTTGGACAAGAGGTACTTCAATGCCGCATGGTCGGTGAAGACTATGACTTTAGATCCCAACAAGTATGACCTAAACTTCTCAATTGCATGAACAATGGTTAGAAACTCCTTTTCCGTTGTTGTGTAATTCCTTTGTGCAAAACTTTCCAAAGTTTTGCTAGTGTAGTAGATAGCATGGAGCTTCTTATCCTTCCTTTGTCCAAGAACGGACCCAATGGCAAAATCCGAAGCATCACACATAAGCTCAAAAGGAAGCTCCCAATTAGGGGGTTGAATGATAGGAGTCGAAATCAATGCCTCCTTCAACCTATCAAATGCTAGCAAACAATCATTAGTAAACACAAAAGGGGCATCCTTTACCAACAATTGAGTGAGCGGCTTTGCGATTTTTGAAAAATCCTTTATGAACCGGCGGTAAAAACCCGCGTGTCCAAGAAAGCTCCTTATCCCCTTCACATATGTAGGGGGTGGGAGGCGCTCAATGACCTCAATTTTGGCACGATCTACTTCAATTCCTCTACTAGAAATTACATGACCAAGAACAATTCCTTCTTCTACCGTGAAATGACATTTTTCCCAATTCAAAACCAAGTTCACCTCTTGACATCTTTTCAATACTTTAATCAAATTCGAAAGGCAAATGTAAAAAGATGAACCAAAAACAGAAAAGTCATCCATGAATACTTCAATTAATGATTCAAGCATGTCGGAAAAAATAGACATCATACACCTTTGAAATGTGGAAGGTGCATTACAAAGTCCAAATGGCATCCTTCGATAAGCAAAGGTGCCAAAAGGGCATGTGAATGTAGTCTTCTCTTGATCCTCGGGTTGGATTGGGATTTGGAAGAATCCCGAGTATCTATCCAAGAAACAATAGTGACTATGTGATGTTAGTCTTTCCAATATTTGATCGATGAAAGGGAGTGGGAAGTGGTCTTTCCGGGTGGACTTATTCAATTTTCGATAATCAATACACATCCTCCACCCGGTGACCGACCTCGTAGAAATGGTCTCACCCTTATCATTCTTGATGATGGTCATGCCTCCTTTTTTAGGCACAACTTAAACCGGGCTAACCCACTTACTATCGGAGATAGGGTAGATTATGCCCGCGTCAAGAAGTTTTAAAACTTCTTTTTTAACAACTTCCTTCATGTTTGGATTGAGCCTTCTTTGGTGCTCAATCGAGGAAGCATGATCATCATCAAGTAAAATCTTATGCATGCATATAGTAGGACTTATCCCCTTAATGTCATCAATTTTGTACCCAATTACACCTCTATAATCCCTTAAAACAACTAGGAGTTTCCCAAGAGAGGTATCATCAAGTTTAGCATTGACAATAACGGGATAACTCTCACTATCATCAATAAAAGCATATTTAAGTAAAGGAGGAAGGGGTTTAAGTTCAACCTTGTGAGGAGGCGTAGTCCTCTCCTCTTTTACCTCCACATTAAGCACTTCCACTTTCTTTTCGTTGTGGACTAAAGGTTGGTTGAGCAAAAGATCATACCCCCTTGTTTCTTCACCTTCCTCAACTAAGCCTCCCGTTAGGATAGCTTGTAAAGGATCTCCTTCAAACAAATCCTCTTGGAACTTCTCTAAGTCCCTTTCCAATGTATCAAATCTATGAACATCATCATACAATGGCTTTTTCAATGTTTGTGGGAATGAAAATGATATTTTCTCATCCCCTACATTCAAGTTCAATCTTCCTTGCTTCATATCAATCACAACACCCGCGGTGTTCAAAAATGGTCTTCCCAAGATTAGGGGCACCGTAGTATCTTCTTCCATTTCCATTACCACAAAATCACATGGCACAAATACTCTTCCAACTTGAACCGGCACATCTTCAAGAATTCCCAAAGGTAGCCTAACCGTGCGGTCGGCCAATTGTAAGGACATTCTTGTTGGCTTCAAGTCTCCCACTTTCAAACTCTTAGCAATAGAATAGGGCATCAAACTCACACTTACCCCTAGATCACATAAAGCATCCATAGCATCCAAGTCTCCAATCTTCACCGGTATTGCATAGCTACCGGGGTCACCAAGCTTTTGAGGAAGCTTGTTTTGAATGATTGCACTCACCTCCTTAGGAAGGGAGATGGTTGCACTCTCTTTTAGCCTACTCTTGTTGGATAAAAGATCCTTCAAAAATTTTGCATATGTAGGCATTTGTGACATAGCATGAAGAAAGGGGATATTCACTTGAAGTCCTCTCATGACTTCAAGAAAGTTTGAAAACTTTTCATTCAATTTCTTTTCAACAATCCTATGAGGGAATGGAATGGGAGGCTTGTATACTTTCATGGAGGGCTTTTCTACCTTTTCCTCATCTCCTTCATTCTTACTTTGTGGCTCCTTTCTCTCAACATCAACTATCTCATTTTCAAACTCACCCTCATTTCTCACCACAACTCCCTCATCTCTCTTTTGTGGCTCCTCTTCACTCATAACCGGCCCCTCATAACCTCTCCTTGATCTCAAAGTAATGGCCTTATCTTGCTCCTTTGGGTTCACAACCGTTGAGCTTGGGAAGTGACCACTAGGATTGGAGGATGAACTTCCAACTTGTTCCGCAATTTGAGCCAGTTGATTCTCAATTATCTTGTTGTGTGCTTGAAGTTGTTGGATGTTCGCTTGCATATCCACATTGCTTCTTCCTTGTTGTGTAATGAAGGTCTCAAGTGCGGCTTCAAGGCTAGATTTTTGAGGAGGTGGAGGAGCGGGTTGGTTATATTGTTGCCTTTGTTGGTTTTGGTCCCTTTAGTTAGGGTGACGGTAAGGAGCTTGTTGGTTTTGTGGATGAGATTGGTTGTATTGGTTTTGAGGGGGGCCTTGATTTTGTTGTTTCCAACCCATGTTTTGTTGGGGTTTCCAACCTTGATTGTAGGGTTGAGAGTATTGATCGTTTCTTTGCCCAATAGCTGCAGCTTGCTCTTGGTTAGTTAAGTTGCAATAGGAGGACAAGTGATCATTTCCTCCACAAGTTTCACAAGACATGACTTGTTGTGAAGAAGATCTTGGAGATGTAAGCGTGGCTTGATCTAGCTTGTGAGCTAGCATGTCAAACTTTGATGCAATAAGGTCTATCGCACTAAGGTCGTGGATTCCGCCCTTCTTTTCTTGTGGTTGCCGTCTATCACCTCCGTATGCATAGTGCTTTGCCACTTCTTCAATCATCTTGTATGAATCATCCACCGATAGCTTTTTAAGACTACCACCGGCCCCGTTATCAAGGTTGGCCCTTGAATTAGGAGTAAGACCATCATAAAAGCTTTGAACAATGATCCATGATGTGAAACCATAGTGTGGGCATTTTCTAGTGTAGTCCTTGAAACGCTCCCAAGCTTCACTTAAGGTTTCATCAATCTCTTGGTTGAAATTGGTGATTTTCCTTCTTAGTTCGACGGTCTTTTCGGGTGGACAATACTTTCCAAGGAAAGCTCTAGTGATTTCATCCCATGTAGTCAATGATCCCTCTTCTACCGTTCTCAACCAATGCTTTGCTTTGTCACGGAGGGAGAATTGAAACATGTGCATACGGATGAACTCTTCCGTAATGTTGTTTTGCTTGATGGTTGTGCACAATTCGAGAAAGTTGTCCAAATGAGCAAAAGGACACTCATGAGAACTCCCACCAAATTGATCACTTTGTATCATCCGGATGAGTTGAGGTGAAAGCTCAAAATTATTTGCATTCGTAGTAGGGAGACGTATGCCACTCCGAAGTGTGAAGGCATTGGGGTGGTCATAATCTCGTAACAATGGTGGAGGAGGATTGTTATCACCCATGTTATCTTCTTCGTTGGCTGCAAAGATTTCCTCCGGATCGGAATTCGAATATACAATAGAGAACTCGGGTGTGCCTTGCAAAAGCCTCCTCACGTTTCTCAAAGTCCTATTTAACTCTGGATCAACAGGAATAAGCGGTGATTGCTTACTCTTCCGTGTCATGCAAGGTCAAACAAAGCTAAGAAAAACGTTAGCAATGACTATCACAAGTTGAAAACACAAATATACAAAAATAAATAAGAAAAATTATGATACAAATATACACACTTAGACTCATTCAACAATAATACATTCAATGTGACTTTGCCTCCCCGGCAACGGCGCCAAAATTTGATAGGCCGTCGTCGAGCCTGCCAAAGATAAAGTCCTATCTTGGTCTCACTAGCTAATAGAAAGGGTAAGAAAGGGTCGAACCCAAGAGAGGCGTTGAATCAACCACCGAAATACTACCGCATAAATAAGCTAAATGAAGTCGAAATTGCTTTGGTTTTATGTAACAAGTGCTAGTTCAAGTCAACTAAAGCTAGGGGAGATTAACAATATTTAGAGAGTTCTAGGGCTTGGGATATACAACTCAATTTCGTCACGAATCACAATTAGCAAGTAGCAAACAATGGTAATTTGAGGGGATAATATAGGGAAAGTCATCTAAAGCACCCAACTACTCTCTCAGGCTAGAGGGATTACTCGAATTATGAATACAACCTACTCTCGTGGTAACAAAGCATAAAACAAGTATTAAAGCATAATCACGATGACAAAAACATTCCCTTGACTGGAAATTCCTATTCCCATGGCATTTCAAGCCAATTAAGCATAAGGGAGCTAACTCAAGTTCATCTCTCGATCCTTCGTTGAGAAAGCTTAGATAATAGTTCTAGCAATGGCCATATACAAGAACTAAGCAATTAAACCACTTAAGCTCAACTAATTAACACCCAAAAATTACCAAATTAACACATGCAACAAGTAATTAGTGACTACATTGAGGGTTTTACCCAAACCCTAGAAAATTAGACTACTCACAATCCATGGAGATTAAAGCAATTAAGGATTTCAAGTAACTCATGAACAAGAATTAACTAAAGATTAAGATAAATAACAATCTAAGCATACAAGAATTAAGCAAGATAATTAACAATCAAAGCAATTAAAATGGAAGATAAGAGTGAGAAAATGTTACTAGAAGCTTCAACTTGAATATCAATGGTGGAACTTGTCTTCTACATTGATTGAGAATGAAATTTCCAAGCTAATAATTATAATCTAACTAATGATTTGAGAATATTTGTGTTTCTACAATTGCAAACTAAGAGGAAGCACTAAAAACTTGGATGCCGTACAAATAAGCTCAAGGGGTTATTTATAAAGACCCCCAAATAAAAAGGACGGAGAAAACAAGAGTCGGGCACGGCTACAGGTCAGCACGGATGTGCTGAGGTTGGCACGGACGTGCAGCTATACCTTCACGGACGTGCTGAGGTTGGCACGGACGTGCACCTGGGAGGCAGAAGGTACTGTTTTGGCCAGAGCATCCTGCACGGACGTGCCAAATATGGCACGGACGTGCAGGCCTTGTTCAGTAGAATCAGTTTTGAAACTGATTTGGGCTGAGCGACCTGCACGGACGTGCAGGATCAGGCACGGACATGCTGAGCTATGTACGAACGTGCAGGCCTTGAAAGCAGTAGGCAGTAGCTTCTGGTCGTGCTGGAACACTTCTGCACAGACGTGTCATACTTTGCACATCCGTGCAGACTCTCTAAGGCCTTTATCTTCACTTTTCTTCTGTTTTTCTCTATTGTTTCGGCTTCTAACCTCGGTTTATCATCCAAATGCCTCAAATGGTCGTCTTTGAACCTAAAAACCCAACAAAAACACTAACAACCCGTGAAGCAAGGGATACACAAAAGTTGAACAAAAATAGAGTAAAAGTGAACCAAAATGCCAATATACCAAGTAAACAAGGTTCGAAATCACTTTAAAATCGTATCAAATAATAAGTTATCACTATGCTAGACTTATTGGGGAAAGGGTAAATAGAGTAAAAGAAAAAAGATGTCATGAAATCTTGTCGTTGAAGCTCGCCTCTTGTCTTGTGTTGTTTTCTTTATCATCACTCGCTCTTCTTGTTAAATGGAGGTGTGGGAAGCTTGTTATTATCAATCAGATGTTGGATAGCCTCCTTTAGCTTCCAACATCTCTCAGTAGCATGACCCCTACCTTGATGGTACTTACAGCACACATTTGGATTCCAACTAGGCACTCTTTTCTCAAGTGGGGGATCTTGAAGAGGTCCAATAGGAGTGATGAGTCCCTTGGCATGGAGTCGATCGAAAGCATCATCGTAGTTAATTACAATAGGGGTAAAATCCCTTTTCGGTTGCTTTCTAAATCCTCGACTATCCATGGCTAGGATCTCACTAAGGTCGATAGAACCAACATTGTTGCTAGAGTAGGTGTTTTCGGAATAAGAAGGATAGTCGTTCTTCTTCCTTTTACAGCCACTGTTACTATCGTTACTAATCTTGGCCTTCTTGTCACGCGGAGGAACATGAAGGAGATTTGCATCAATGAAGTCTTGAACACGATCCTTGAGGGCGAGACACTTTTCAGTAGTGTGACCGCGACCTTTATGGTATCGACAATAGGAATTTGGATCCCAATTGAGAAAACGTTTTTCAGATGGAGGGTCTTGACTGGGGCCAATGGAGTGAATATGACCTTGATCATGAAGACAGTCAAAAGCTTCATTGTAAGTCGTTCCTATTGGTGTGTATTCTTCAATGGTCCGTTTTGCCCATGGCTTAGGAGCATTGAGTTCTTCATTAAACTCTTGGCGAGAATTTTGTTCGATGACCATCACTTGATTTTCTAATCCTTCTACCACGTTCAAGAACATGGCAACGACATCTTGCAATTTCTGAACGTCCTCTTTTAGACTTGACGAGTCTTCCCTGGTATTACCTAAGAAAAGACTTTCATCCTCCCCAATCATGGCCACTTCATCGAGAAAGGTCATATAAGCTATCTCAATCATGGGCTCTCCTACAGGTGTGATAAGAAGTGATGGATTGAAGGATGCTTGGTCATCTTCGATGGCTAGAATCTCAGAAGTTTCATTGTTATCGATCAGATCTTGAATAGCTTCTTTGAGTTTCCAACACTCCTCAGTGTCGTGACCCTTTCCTTGGTGATATTTGTAGTGCTTATTAGGATCCCACTTAGGTGGCTTGGCTTTTGGAACTGGATCTTTGATACGCCCTATGGGCATGACTAGTCCTTTGTGATGTAGCTTCTCGAAAGCCATTTCATAACTCATACCGAGTGGAGTGAACACTCTTTTTGACCTTTGGATTCGCGATTTAGAGGTGTTCGTGGCATGTACCTCATTAATGGGAGAGGAAGAAGAAGGATGGTCGTTCTTCTTTCCTCTCGCACTATTAATTTTCAAAAGGTCATCTTCAATGTCAATGCCTATATTATAGACAGCCTTGAAAGTATTCAAGTTGTGTTGGTATTTTAAGTGCCTTGAATACTTCCCTTGGAGGTTCTTGATAAACATCCTCACAGATTCTTTTTCGATAGGATCCTTGACCATATTAGCGGAAGTTTCCTTCCATTTGTTGAAGAAAGAAGTGAACCCTTCATTTTCTTTTTGTTTTAACATCTTGAGTTGTCTATGGTCTGTTTCGTCTTGGATGTTGCACTTATATCTATCTATGAAAGCGTTTGCTATGGACTCCCAGGTGGAGGTTTTTTCTTTCTCGAGAGAAAAGAACCATTGCTAGCAAACGGTCTCGAGAGATAGTGGGAACAGAGAGGGGAAAACCTTCTTATCGATACCCTTAATGCTCATTATAGTTTCAAAAGCTCTTAGATCAAAGTAAGGGTTATATGTTGCCTTGAATTTAGGGATGTCAGTGGCGTTGAACTTATGCGGAAGAAGTTCCTTGTCCAGCGAGACCCCTTGTGAACTAATACCTTGAAATTTATAGTCACTAGATAGCTTGCTCAAACTTTCTTGCATAAGGTTCATTTGTTGTTGCTTCACAGGGTCATCAATTTTGAGGGTTAAAGCCTTTAACACCTCAGTCACGTCATTCAATTGATTCCTAAGTTCATTGACCTCTTCTTGACTTACCATTATCTTTTTATCCTTCCTTTTTTGACGAATTGGTTTATCAAAAAGTGAGACTTGAATAAAGATGTTGTCCTTGATTAATCGTCATTCTCTCCTCGACCAAGTACTGTGGAAAATGAATTTGGGGATATCCATTGTTAATTTTTTGACTCAAACTTTATTCAACATGCAATAGATGGAGGAAGTGAAGAAAGATTGGAATAGAATGTACCCCCAACTCAAATTGTGGAAAAGACCGACTCATGCATGAACCTAAGACATGGTCATGGTGACATATACCCAAAGTGTGTGCTAATACTAGTGAGTGTAGGTGACATGTTAAGACTCGTGTCATGACCATGTGGCTAGACTATGTGACTAGACTCAATTAATGACTTAACAGGGTATTATTGACAGCAAAATTTAACCGAATTAATTAGTAAACTGGTTAATTAGACACTAGGTGATGACTCAATCAATAATCTGAACTGTCGCCAAAACGACAGGACTGGCGTCGCACTGTGTAGTGTAGCGCCAGATGACAGAGCTGTCGCCAGGCGCCACACTCCACAGAGTGGCGCTACAGCTCATATTTTGGCGCCAATGCTAGAACTTCAATCTGAGACTGTTTTCGGTGTTATTAATCAACAGGGGTATGCCTAAAGTCGTATTAGGTTAATTCTGATTAAAATATTAGACTTTATCTACTCAAATTAATTAATCAATTAATTAATTAGGCAAAGTTCTTTAAGTCATTAATTTATTTTAGTCTTAACACAAGTAAAATAAAAGGTTAAGAAAACATAGTATATGCACAACAAATAATGCACAATTAGTCAAGTAGGCACAATATGATGCAATGAGTTTGCAACCTAACCATGGCTCTAGTTCTCTAAAGTTCGGGATATGGTTTAGTCAATAGAGGGTCCATGGTTAATTGTCCGGATGCACCGCGCGGAAGCCTAACCGTGAAGGGTTGGCGCGAGTGGATGGGACACCGCGAGTTTTTTTAGAAAAAACTCACTTCCATGGTTTGGTG